TTTTTTAAAATTTAAAATTAGTATAATAGTTATTCTTTCTTACCAAAAATCTTTCAGGAAACGGTCAAAGCCACCATTTTAGCTGCAGCTGGACCACTTTCCATGGAGATCTCTGGATGCTGCTGCCTGGTTGAACCTGATATGCCTGGGCTTATGACATTAAATCCGTTACAAACTCGTGAACCGCCTGGACTTGGGGAACTTGTGCTGCCGGAAAGTAGATTCCCGGCAACCTGGCCAGAGTTCGTGACATGGCATCAACAGTTTGTCATTAAACATTTCGACAATAATTTGCTTTGTGCTCGCATTTATATATAAAGGCAGTATATTCCTTTGATTTGACTTCCCGAATTGTAACAGTAGACGTCGACCTGGACGCGGTCTAAAAATTGTTATGGCAGGTAATTTACATAAAAGATAAGTGGGTCCATGCCCGGGCACTGCACAATTATTATGGGACCTGTCTATTGTGCGGATAGTCGTCGGGGAAAAACTCAGACACAAATTCAGAGGCCCCAACCACGATCTTTCTTCCACGCTTTTGTTATTGCCAGCAAATATGCGCTGCTTTTGTAATATTACCCATTTCTTTACTCTTCTTTTTTTGTGAGCTGAGAATGCTCTTGGTGACTTCCTAAAGGCATTAAAGGTATCAAGACTTGTCGCTGTATGTTTTTGTTATGCAAATACTGTTCAGGTTGCGTATACGACGTGTGTAGCCATAAGGCGAGGCAAGGTGGGCAAATGGGGATGGAAAAAAGAATATATGGAAAGATATGTACTGAACATTTTGCTAGCGATTTGGGAAGATAATTTGAATAGATTTTGGACTTTATCAACATTTATCGATTAATAAATTAATTAAATCCATAGTATTTACTCGTGTCAACCCGATATTTCCCTTAAAATATAAAGAGAACTATACTTTTCTCCCTAGTGTGAACTCTAGACGCCAAAGGTCCCTGAGTTTTTTTTTTTCTCTAGACAATAACCTGGCAGCCCTGACCCGCTTAGTTAGCGTTATCGACATCGTCGCTCCTTCGCTCGTCGCTTTTTGCCAATAAAACAAATTAAAGCCAGCAATTGACGGCGGTTAGGACCTGAAGCTACTTGCCTTGAAAAGCGGCGGTTACAATGGATTTTTCTTGGATTTCTGGCCGATACCGCCGCACGCCTGACTCCAACTCCGACTAAGAGCCTTATCAGGCGCCCGAAATCGATGGCGCGACCATTTGGCAATAATATTTTGCAGTACTTAGTAACCGCAATTGTTCGCCTGCAGTTGCATTTACCGCATTTTCAGTTGCATTTGCATTCTGCGTCCGCCAGACTGCCTGACAGTGAATAATTTGCCATTTGACTTCGATTCTGCGTTCCGTTTTGCCGCGTTTAATTCGGCCTAATGACTGGGAAAAGCGCAAAGTTGAGCCCTTGGCGGCAGCCTAAGTTAAAAAAAGCCAACAAATAGGAGTTGGGGTTTTAAGATCACCTAATGAGGCAATGGGGGAAAAATAAACTTACATAATTGGATGCTTAGGCTAGAGATTGTGCTAAGAAATATAGGTAAACAAATTAATAATACCTTAAAATAATTTATATATAACAATAAACAAGCGAAGTTAAGTGACAACTTTATTTAGATGCCCAAAAAAAGTTCCTTTAAGAAATACTTTTTATTTAAATTCGGCTTCAAGTCGCCTTCATCTGGGTCATTCCACCATACGCTCCACTTTCGCTTTCGCTGAGGAAACTCCCCAGAAAATTCCAAGAAATGGTTTGACAATTCAGACAATTACCTTATCACCTGAAGCTTTCAGACAGATTTCAAAGGAATTCCATTTACAAGTCGAGTGGAGGGGTTTGTTTTTTGGGATAAGGTCAGCCCTGATGGTGGATTACAGATCCCAGATCACGTAGCTCTCCATGGATGCAATTTTCCCTCAAGCAGATGAGCCGAGAAAAAGAACTTTCGACAGCTGCCCCCCTGTGGCGATGATTTCATCAGTTTCATCAGCCAAAAAATATGCAAATGGATCGATCGCATGCATAGTAAGCGGCGCGGTTGGCAATTGAAAGCGATTATCGATGCGGCTAAAAATAATGCAAATCGAGTCGGACGATCCGTAGATCATGCGATGCGATGCGATGCCATGCGATTCAATCCCGGGAAGAGTCATTGTGCCGCGAACTATTGCAGTACAAACAGTTGGGTTTAACCCTGCCCAGCGGCTTAACCCCTCAATGCCCTGTCCTGGCCCCAAGAGTGCAATGCTCCATGCCAGGGTCCAGTTCAAAATCCAATTTCAGGTACACACTTTTATTTGAGGACTTGTCACACACAAAAAAAGAAATTTGGAAATTTTTAAAACAACTTTGCACACAAACAAAAATTGTTTGGAAATTTTTAATAGCCTTTTAAATGTTTTTTTTTTTCCTAAATAAAATATTTTAAAAATATAAAAAATCGTTTTTCAGGCATTTAAATTATACTATAATAATAATAATTTAATTATTATAAAAATGTTTCTTAAATAACTTCACTTTAAAGTTGTTTTATATATTTTTAGAATATTTACAGAATGCATTTTAGTATCTTTTATTTTTTGTTTACAATAAAAAATTAGGAATTTAGGTTTTTAAAATTGAAACACAGAGTGCAACCCTCCATTATCGTTACCAAATCTCTTGGAATTAAAAGATTATTCCAAGAGATTTGGTAACGATATATTTATATATATATATATATTTTTTCGTGTGGCACCCTTGAACTTGATGTGAACTTTACGGGTGTATTCTGTTCAAATTTTTAAAAGGCGCTGGGACTTAATTTATTGTGATTTAGATATTCTAAAATCAAGTCGCGTAATCAATGCATTCGTCTGCCTGCAGACTTGTCCCAGTGCCGCTCCAAAATGTGTGTCATATATGCATGAGATTTTTGGCGCCTGGCATACGAAATCTAGATTTCGATTCATCGGAATGCAAATCCTAATGCAGAGATCTCGAAAGGTGCCAGCAAGTCGGCGAAATTCCTTTAATGCGCCACAGATCAGTTTCAGTTTGACTCCAGTTCAACGTTTGACATTGACATGTGCCAAGGTTCGATCAATATAGAAACACTGAACGTAAAGATATATGAAAATATTTTAAGATTTGTCACATAAATAAAAAAATTTGACTTAGTCATGGAAATTATTTATTGTTAATTAATTTAGATTCTGTTTTTGGAAAGGGTTTTTGTTATAAATATAAGTAAGAGTCATGAAGTTAACTTACCTTTTAAGGAAAAAACTGTTTAGATTTCTCATATTTTCCTGCAGTGAAAACCCTGATATTCTCGTAGCTTCCTTCCTGCTTGTGAATCTTTAGCGAATGGCTCGCGTTTAGCGCCATACGGGCCCAGCATGCAAAAAAATCGTCTGTTTGGGTTGATTTCTCGCATTGAGGTGTTTTGTTGGCCAACGCCAAACATGTGCTGGCCACATGCCCCGTTCCAGACCCTTTTCCTCAGCAAATGTCAAGCCTGTCCAGGCGTAGGTGTGAACAGTTTAAGGAGTTGTTCCGCAGTGTTATCTACACAGAGAAAAAAATAAGACTTTTAAAAAATCTTAACTAGGATAAGTCGATGAAAGGGGTTTCCAAAATGTTATATATTTTTAAGAAATATTAACAAACATTGGACTAATCGTCTCTTCAATAACCTTAAGGTATTTCTGGGTTTATAATTATTAAGTTTAATTTAAAATGCTATTAATATGTATATGAATTATATCTACTATTTGGAAAAATACTTAATTTAAAATGGCAATTTTTCTCCCTGTACACAACTAAAACAGCTTGTTGTTTCCCTAAAGTTCCACGCTCGGTTCCCTCTCACCTTGATGCTACCTTCGACTTCGCTGGGCTCTCCGCTTTCCCAGGAGGGAGTTCTCCTGGGCCACATGGCGGAACTCCAACAGCGGAGCTGGAAAAACAAACAGGACTGGCCACACATGTGTGACTACCCGACGACGTTCAGTCTGGACTGGCTTGGCTCGTACCAGAGCACGTACTATGCGTAGGTGCGAGTCCTTGAATTCCCATCACCATTATCATTCCCATTCCCATTCCCATGCCAATTTCCACATCCTTGTTGTGCCACATGATGATGGTCCTGTGCTTTTCCCGTAGCGCCAGGCGTGTCCAAATGTTTTGTTCAGGGATTCCTCAAGGCAATAGATCTCGGCACACATTACGAAAATGAGACGGCGCTCGCAAATGGCAAAAAAGGAAGAAAAACACGAGCCAAAGTTACATATGCTGGAAACTGGAGAAAGAAATTTTCCATCCCGGCCGTAAAGGGATTTCCTCGTAGGCCACGTTTTCCCACGATTTTATAACTGGTCGTGCCCAGTTCCCGGCCATATTCCCTCGTCCATGTGTGATGGGAATATCGCCAGCGCCCTTGGTTTTTTGCCTCGCAGGGGAAAACTCTCTGGAATAGTCGAGACTCTGATTTTCCTTCGGACATGTGGCCAGTAGCTAAATGGCCGGAGCACTGCGGTTATTTCGAGTGGACAGGTTGTAAAGAGGCCACACCCCCTACCTGCGACCCTTGACCTGACACTGCCACTTGACTTCATGCGCCGGCGCAGGCGCAACCACAGGTAAGCACTCAGCCGACAGGTAAACACATTTGCCAATATCTCACGCTGTCCGCTGACACGTGGCCGGGTCAGGTGATGATGATGGCGATCGTGATCCTACGTCCTGGATCCGGGCAAGTGTGAAACTCACAGGTAGCTGTGGTATATTTGACCATGTCGAATGGTAGTGGGACAAGTCAACATTATGACCAATCAAAGCGCGGGATCAACTTAAAATAATTATAATGCGACTTCAGTATTTACTATTAAATATTTTTAATAAAAAAATAGATTAGAAAATATAAAAATGTGAAAAAATAAATTCTTTACTCATTTCTTCATCGGAGTTGAACATTTTTGAAATACAAAGAATAATTGAAATGCACACATACATTTATTTTCCATATCATATTGAATTTTTAAAGATTTCTATTTGTTTTTTTTACTTACAAAACTCTGTGTTTTTGAGCTAAAAACTTTTCAAAAAAACTTTAATTTAAGCAGAGGCATTGGCCTGCCCAACACCGGCAAATGCAAAGTCCGGCGAGGAATCCACAGTTGTCGGCGAAGCATTCCGGAAATGATCCGCCGAGAGGCGAGTGGACAGGATACCCACACCCTCGATGAGACTGAGCATGGTGGCCCCAATGATGGCACTTACGGTCATGGCAGCCATGCCTTTCCTGGCGGACAGGACGCCTCCGGTAACGGCTCCACTAATGATCGAGTTCCATGGATCCTCTTTCTGTCGCATGTAGACCAGACTGCAGTCCACCACGCTGAAGATGACGCCCCACGCAGCAAAATTTCCAGCTATCGCCGGTGATTTGGTCTTCACGGCCGTGATGCTTCCGCCAAACCGCCGCCCAATGCCTTGCGGCGCGTTCCGGAAGCCCTTCAGGGCCTGGAAGACCCCACCACCGATGCAGCCCATGGCGAAGGCTCCACCGCAGTCGTCGACAATGCGCTGGGGACATGGCTCTCGGGAATAGTCCTCCATCCTGAGAAAGAATCTCTGGCCAAAATGTAATGCAGAAAACTGAAACTGAATTTATCAAAATTGAAAGTACTTTTTGCTGGTTCTATGTTTGAGTTAACTGAGGCTGAATGTGGTTTGTGATACACAGATTGGGATAAATAATTACGAGAGAGTGGATTGGCAGGGCTTGGGTTACTGGGGATTTTATAAATATATGTCCATATTACTTATCAAGCTTATAAATACAGGTTGCCAGTGAATGGTACTTGATTCTACTTGGAATCCACACAATCATTTGCATACAGAACCAAAGTCCAGGCAAATATAGCCGCACGTGGATCGGCAATCGGCAATCAGGTATGGGGATAGGGATCTCCTCCAGCTAAGCACAAAAAGGTTAAATAGCACAAATGTCGGTCCGTAGTTAAACATAAAATTTACAGCCGCAGCTGGGCGACTTTGGATGAGGAGTGGGGAGTGGACACTGGGTAGGGGCATTTCCAAAGACGCAATTCCTACAAAAGGCAGACGGTGGGAAACGGAAACAATGAGACCGATTGTCGTCGACCGATAAAACCCAGCCAGACCGGGACCGTGCTCACTCCAGAAATCCAGAAACTCAACGAGAGGAAAGGGAAGCTTTATACGATTGCATGCATAATTATCACGCGAGCATAATCGGAGTTTTGAAACCTCCGCAACTGTGTTTGCTCGCCTTCGGAAAAGGGGGAATCGTCGTCGTACCCCGATGGGTATCTCCGCCACAACAAGGTGTCAGAAAGTAGTGACAAATGAAAGTGAAACCCCGATCGAAGCCGAAAAATCGATGGAAGATGATGGGACACCTGGACACACACGAAGCGCCAGGCCATTGTCTCAGGACTCGCGTCAACTTGACATGTAAATCGTTAGAACGTGTTGCACTCGATTGATTGCTCTCACTCCTTGGAAACTACTGGTGTCCCCTACAGATAAAGGGGCAGTTGTATCCAAGATCATTAGTCAGGAAATTGCCCCCAGATAGAGCCGTGTATAATTTGTTATGGTAAGTACAGGGCACATTGTGCTGGGGATTTCCAGTGAAATCTTTATTTTCCCTCCTAATTGTTGTCGCTTATAAATTATTGAGTTCGGATCGGATTGGAGTGGTGTTAATGTGGGCACATTATGCGAGTTGAACTAAAGGATTGGCCATTCCTGTGAAGGATGCAACATGGTCAGGGGTTTCCCACGAATTCGGGAGTTTCTAGACGGACATTTTCCTGGGAAATCACAGGCCAACTGGAAAATACGATGGGAAATTGATATTTTGAAGAGGGAAATGGTTTCGGTAACACTAGGATTTATATTAAATAAAACAACTTATTGAATTTAAATCTCTATTTAGTTGAAAGATCTTTGTTTTTTCTTCATTTGTTTAATGTAAAAAAAATAATATCCAACTGGTTACACATTTTAATAAAGTAGAAACTATTATAAATAAACTCTATTGTTAACATGTAAATTCTTTTTGTTATACTTTCCTTGTTTTCTTATCTTTCTCTTACAATAAACTGTATATATTCTATAAATACATACTTCCTGTAATTAGCATATACAAATTCTCCAAAAAATTACACGGCTTTCTGGAGCCATTCCACTCTCTATCCTCCTATAGAGTCCTAGGGCACCGCCGGTGTTCCTGGGCAGCTGTGACGCAACTCTCGTTATCCATATTCCACCGGAATATGCATCTGCATAACGTCCAGTAGACAAAGGAAATCGAAAACGGAACTCATTTGGCAGACTCGAGACGAATCCCTGCACATGCCAAAACGCCAGCGAGCACAACACACAACAAAGCGGCGAAACAATTGCGGTTGCATTACCCCAGAAGTCCAATTCAAATTCCGACGGCATTCACAGGACACAGCCTCCAGTCGGGCAATGAAATTCACAATTTTGGAATCAAAGAGCAGGCCAGGAGGAGTCGACAAAAGGATGTGGCCCAGGTAGGGCCCGGCATGCCGCCAAAAATGTACAAAAAAAAAAAATGCTGAAAAATCTTGAACGGTGCACTATTGTTGTGTCCTGTGCTCTGGCTGTGATTACTCGAACTCTGATGACGATCATGAATGTGAAGACTTCCCTACACTGGGAGAAGAATTGGGGAGAATGGGGAAGAATATATTTATATTTAATAAATTTTTAAAATATATAATTATGGGAATAACATTTTGAGAAAACCATCAATCTTTCTCATATAAATATTTACAAATCTTTTAATTAATAAATAAATTGTATTTTATTAATTTTCATAAGAATACAGCTTTTTTAATTTGATAAAAAATCGGTAGGTTTCTATATAGATATAATTTTTAATAATATAATATATATTTTTTGTAGTGTCCATGATGATCTTCCCCTCCTTGGCACTCGCTATTGTGCGCCCGCAGATGCAAGTCAACGTCCGAATCCGTTTTTTTCTCCTTTTTGGCTGAGGGCAAACAGATGCACGTCTTGCCAAAAACCGAAAATAACTGAAAAGTGGAAATCAGAAAACCCAAGCCAGGACGAAGACGCGCCAAAGGAGAAGAATACAGGGCTGAGCTGCAGCTGTCAATGCCAAGCCACCAACGCGCCACCCTCGAGTTGACAATATTTCCAGCACCGATTTGTGATTGCAGAGTTTTGAGTCCTGATTTGTGCTGCCTGCCTAGAGGCAGATGCCCCGATGTCCTTTGGGTTTCCTTGGCCGCCGCATTGTTGTTGGCCGTTCACCCGCCCGCCCGGTGCAATGATTTCTTCTCTTCGACGGCTTTTTGTGTTTGTGCGGGTTTTTTTTTTTGCAGGCTGGCCGAGGAGCCTGGCTCCGAGGTCCTGTCACAAGGTGTTGGAAATGCTGTTAATAGGGGAGTTCCTTTGGCCTGACCTGGCATAACTTGGTGTGTGGCTGGGCAGGAACGAAAGATGTCCAATATATCAAGATTATTTGAGGTTCATGGAGGAAGTTTCCTAAGGAAGTCTTTTCTTTTCAAAGATTTTATATCATTATGGGGCTTTTGGCATCTACGGCTATAAAAATTATATTAAAAAAAATATTTTAAATTACTAAGAAACTTAACAACATAATCTGAAGCTGAGAAATATTTTAATTACCTTCTGAAGAATACTCAAGTACTCTGAAAAATGATAAATATATTTTAGAAGACTCTCAGAAATCAAAGTATTTTCTTAAAAATAAAATAACAAAGCAATATATATTATAACCTTTTTAGGAACACCTTTAATGATATCCTTAACCCCTACTACAACCGGAACAACTCTCCCTTTTTTTAATGGAAACCCATAATCACCGCAACAGAATTAAAAATATTTACACACTTAATTTAGGAGACACGTGTAATAGGCTAAACAGAGTGTTTAGGAGCCGGACACACGCGATGTCCTGTAATCAGCTTAGCTGCCGAAGTATAATGGAAAGTGGGGGCAACGATTACGACAGAATGCTGACAACAGGACTCGTAATGCCGGCACTGCATTGACAGGATAACGAAGCGTGAATAGGCACGAAACCTACGCGAATAAAGGCCGGATCATGGAGGCTTCGAAGGGGGAATCGAAGTCAAGGCAGCTGCCACAAGTGCAGGACTTGCGACAATAGAGGATATTTCTTGTGGGGGTCTGTCTCGGGGGTCGGGGCCCATTCACTGTTCAGCGAGGACAATGGGCCACAGGTAGCGATGGAACCCGCACATAATCGCCGACAGATACGGCCAGGTGATCCAACTTTTTGATTTCTTCTGGCTAAAGGACATTGATACGCCGGCATCGGCCGGAGTCTGGATTCCTGGAAGCAATTCCTTTCGCTGGCTTTTCAAAACATTTACTCCACTGTTCGCCCATTGTGGCCCAGGGATCTCTATTGATTGTGTAATGCAGCCCGTGGCAGGCCGTGATTTTCCCTGCTTCTCCGATCTTCGATTTATGGATCGCAGCTCCTTTGTGTCGTGCCAAAAAAATTGAGAAAAGGAGAAGCCCAAAACAACAACAACGGGAGCTGCAGTCCTCGATCCTCGATCCTGACCCGGGGGTAGTACAGTAATCAACAATTCATTGTCAACGAGATCACACATCGTATATCTTGGGCCATAGTTTGTTTTCTTTGGTGGCATCGGTTCTTTCTTTTCTCCCTCTCTCTTGGTTTTTAGTTTTATTTTTTTGCAAAAGGTGCACCGGGTCCAGGTGAGCCCAAGAAGCAAGTACTGTTAGGTTTATGATGGAATCATTGGACCCAGCCAGAGGTTTGATTTATAGAAGACACACAGGCTAGAAAGCTGTAAAAACAGTTAGAGGAGATCTCAGAAAGGGGGAACAATTCTTAAAATTAAATTGGGATTGAAAAACAGAGGGTAGATAGTTTAAATTAAATGCTTAAATAAATTATTCTGAATTATATATAAGGTTGTATTTTAAGTTAATTTACTATTTATAAGGCATACTTGAATTGATAGTAATATTTAATAAAATATTTTAAAATTTAAGAATCTTAGATTTTGTATTCTTAACATTTTCCCTTCTTTATCTTGCTTTAATTTTCTTCTTTTGCAATTTCTTTCCCCTCTTGTACATCCAATTATTTTTGCACCAGTTTCGCCTGGCTCCTCTTGGAACAATACTCACCAAACCCTATAGAGATCCTTGTGTTCCTTGACAATAAAGACAGCTACAACAAATAGACGAGCGAGCGAGCACAAGGTGCAAAAATGGGACGGGCCCATTGTCAGCTAAAATCAGCAACAACAACAACTGCTCCGGGAAAATCGGAAAAGCGGTCGATGTCGAGTAGCAGCACCTGCCGAAATCCCTAGACGACTCTCCCCGAAAGGGTTTTCCCCACACCAAGCATGAATGAATCCAGCGGAAAACTCATATCATCCGAAATCATCATCTACCTAATGCTAATGAGCGGGGTTGGCCCGCCTGGGATTTTCGCGATTACCTGTACTCCGACAAGTGTGGGTTTTCCTGGCGAGTGAATGGAGGAATCGTCGGGTTATCCGCCGATGTCCTGCCGGCAATTCCGCGGCGATATCTTCGCGGTGATCATTAGGTAGGTGCCTGGATGTGTCATGGCCGTTAATTGCGCGGAATAACACACGTAATAACCGAGGCTAGCGGGATGACCCACCAGGTAGGATGTGCGTATGTCCGATGCCAGGACATAGAGAAAACCCCCAGACATCTTTCCGTGTTTTGCTTGAGTTTCGCTGACTGCGTAATTGGATAAGCTGGGAAATTACTTTAAATCCGCCGCTGATCCACATCCGGAGCGTCGCCGAGGGAAATCCATCGCAGGGAAATACGAAATGGAAATGCGGCTGGGTTATTGGCTCGACATTTCCCACTTTGCCATCACACCCCTCTGCCATTGGCCAGGATCGCGGGGAATTGGAATTTCGCGTTGGAATTTTTTGTCACCTCTTGGGTTTATCAAAACTTTTGGGTTTGCTCGGTCCGATCGGTACGGTTTTTTCGCCTTTGCATTTTCCCACCGATAGCACATTCTCGCCTGGTTTTTTTTGATGGCCGGGAAATCGGAGGACTTGCTGCTAGGCAATGCGGGCTTGGCTGTTTTTCCGGGCACGAAGTCTGGGGAGTGGGTGGTGGGAAAGTTTCACGCCAGCGGTGTCGGAGGGGTAGCGGAAAAGTCTGGAGGTGCTGCGCGGGAAAGTAGGAAAGTTGTGTGTGTGCGCGATCGAGTCAAAGATCAGGGGAGGTGGAAAATGTTGAGGGTACAGTTGGAGGTATGGAATTCATATTTTTTAGATTTTGATGAAGATGATTATTTAAACAATAAAATATATTAACAAGTATTTTCCAAAAGAATTTATTGTATTTATTTATTCAAAGGAAAATGTTCATTCTCTGATGTCCTTGACTTATTTTTTATATTACTTATATTAAATTTAAATTTATATTTCATGTATTTAAGTTCAAGTTCAAATATATATAGTGTTTCGAAATTTGTTTTATAATCTTCTCCTGTTAAAAATGTAGTCATGAAAACATTGATCTGCTTTAAAAATTCCGTGGGAAAAGAAAAAAGGGCAAAGGTAAGCTAACAGGAGATTAGATACTTTCCCGTCAATTCCTTTCTGAGAAAAATAGTGATGGAAATCTGTCCTGGAAAAGTTGCTCTCGGAAAACTCCCATTTATCGCTGGCAATGAGCCACTGGAGATGATCCATAAGTCAGTGGAAAGTGCACCCCAGAGTTGACACACTTGGTGCTTGGAATTCGGCTCATTATCAATGCTATTTTTGGAGCACCTCTCGACGGTGCCGATGCCAAGGTGTCAGTTTTGTCAGTCCAAGTCGCTCAGGTTCAACTCCCCCCTGAATTAAGAGCCACGGCAGATGTACTCGAAGCACTCGATCTAAGTGCAGAAACCACCCCCGATGGATATGCACTGAGAATTAAATTTATGTAGATTTTAAATAGAATCTAAAAGGAACGGTTCGTTTGCTGAAAAATAGAATTCAATAATATATATTTAGTAAATTCTTTAGGTTAAAATGAAGACTTATTATAATATTGAAGGGCTTTGCTTATGAAAAGAGGTTTAAAGGCTCCATTTGAGTACCTAACTTTAATTTATTTTATAAGGTTTGAAACATATTTATCTATTTTTCTAATTCTATCTAAAACTAAATAATCTTTAAAGAAATATCCTTAGGAAGATGGGATAATACTTCCCGCCGTGTACTCTTCTAATTTGACTCGTGCTTAAAAATAGAAAATTACTTAGGGGAGGCGCTGGAGGTAGACATAACTTGCATTCCGGACCTGCAGGAGTTATGGCAGCAGGGCTGCACACCTCCCTACCCCCCGATGGCCCGGGAAATTGGAGGAGAGAGCAAAGAGCTGTCATAAGTTATCGGTGGATCGGGGAATTGGACTAGACCCAGGGATCCCTTTTCCGCTGGCTGGCTGGAGGGTGCGCCTGCGCTGGCTGCTCTCTCACCGTTGAGAGAGAACGAGTGCAGTGATGAGAGGGCAGGTAGAGAGCGGTGAGGGAAATACGCAATAGGGGTTGGGGGTAAAACTACGCCCGTTGTTGTTGTTGTTGCTGCTGCTGCTGCTGCTAGGTAGCAGCGCACACGTGTGCGTGTGTTTGGGAAGAAGAACCACCACCAAAACGGAGGCAGCGACGCCGACGACGGCCGCGGGCTCGGGGTATAAAAGAGCGTGCTCGACGCTCGACCTGTCACAGCCAACTCAGCCCTCGTTGAGAACGCATCTACAAGATCTATAAACTCAAACACACACACTCGCACTCACCGATCTGCGAAACTCCGCCAATCACTCGATAAATCGATCTCGATCCGTGCCGGAAATTACACAAATCGAAAATGGCTGCCAACTACAAAAGCTGCCCGCTCAAGAAGCGCCCCATCGTCTTTGTGGAGGAGCGTCTGCCGCAAACGGAGGCCTTGGCCCTGACCAAGGACTCGCTATTTGCCCAGGACCAGCCCCAGGATCTCTCGCTCAAGCGTGGCCGCGAGGAGGATTACCAGCAGGAGCCGGAGCCCAAGCGCGACTATGTTTTGAATCTCTCCAAGACTCCTGAGAGGATTTCCGTCATCAACTCTAGCTGCCTGCTGTCGCCGCCCGTTGAGCCCAGCCAGGATTACCATCCCACAGACATCCACATGCGCGGACTGACAGCCGGTACCACGGGCTACACCACCAGTGTCCCCGTGGCCAATCCCTTCCAGTCCGCCTTCGTAATGGCCGCCGGCTGCAATCCGATCTCGGCTCTGTGGAGCAGCTATCAGCCCCATTTGGCCGCCTTTCCCTCGCCCGCCAGCTCCATGGCCTCGCCGCAGTCCGTGTACAGCTACCAGCAGATGACGCCGCCCTCGAGTCCGGGTTCCGATCTGGAGACCGGATCCGAGCCAGAGGATCTCTCCGTGCGCAACGACATTCCACTGCCGGCTCTGTTCCACCTCTTCGACGAGGCTAGGTCCACGAGCAGCGGTGCCAGCGTGAGCAGCTCCTCGGGTTACTCCTCCTACGTTCCGACCAACTCCGCCACCACCCCGGCCGGCAACCAGGCCAGCCTGGCGGCCAAGAACTATCGCTTCAAGTGCGAGGAATGCCAGAAGATGTACTCCACCTCGATGGGCCTGTCCAAGCACCGGCAGTTCCATTGCCCGGCGGCGGAGTGCAACCAGGAGAAGAAGACCCATTCCTGCGAGGAGTGCGGCAAGCTGTACACCACCATTGGAGCATTGAAGATGCACATCCGCACCCACACGCTGCCCTGCAAGTGCCCCATCTGCGGCAAGGCCTTCTCCCGTCCGTGGCTGCTCCAGGGTCACATCCGCACCCACACCGGCGAGAAGCCCTTCCAGTGCCCGGACTGCCCGCGATCCTTTGCTGATCGCTCCAACCTGCGAGCCCATCAGCAGACGCACGTGGATGTGAAGAAGTATGCCTGCCAGGTGTGCCACAAGTCCTTCTCGAGGATGTCGCTCCTGAACAAGCACTCCAGCTCCAACTGCACCATCACCATTGCGTAAAGGACTCTGGGATCTCTGGATTTCCCGTAAAAAAACTACATTCCGCTGGCGAAGACCAAACACAGACAGACAATAACTCAAGCTAGCCTGTACTAAGTCGATTCGGTTTTGGTGCTACTATAACTATATAGCCCTATTTATTTCAGTCGTATTTGTAGGCTAAGATCATGTATATTGCCCCATTGTCACAAGCAGCATTTGACCAAATTTACTCATTTAATTATTATTATAATTTATGTACTCTCATTACTGTTAAGCTCAACTGTTGTTAAGATTATTGCTAGTTTTAAGACTATTTTTATAAAAATAAAACATAGAAAACTCAAAAGAAATTTTAAAAGGTTTTTTTATTAATTAATTAAATTTGAAAAGAAATTTCAAATAAAATTTTAAAAGGATTTTTAGCTGCTTATTTAAATACTTAATTATATTTTTCAGCTCGCATTGAGATATTTTCTCTTATAGGAAGTACAAGGCCCTATTTACACTAAGAAAATTCCTTTCAAATTCGTTTCTAGACAACTTCCTCTATTTTTGTTACAATTTCTACCTTATAGTCAACAGGAAGCAAGACTTCCTGCAGTTGGAAGACTCCTCTTCTTCTATTATTCCTCACATTTTGTGACAATTTCCGCCAACCCTCTCTCTCGGCAAACAGAAATCACAACAATAGCAATATCGGATTCTAGGGGAAAACACCTTTGGCATGTGCAAACACCGATTTGTCATGCACTTTCCATTTTATTCGGGGACTTCCTCTCAACCCGCCCCCAATAATGTTTCATAAATTCATATCGTTTCTCGATTTGCACCTTTTGTCAAAGCAAATATTTAATTAGCTGACACCGCAAAGGCTCCACGTTTTCAGGATGTTTTTCCAGTTTGGTTTTAGTGCCCTTCTGCCAAGCCTTTACCTTGGCCTGCATATTTGCCAAAAGGATCTCGGCGCATGCGTAGCGAGTCTCGAGTCTTGAGTCCCGAAGGACTGCAGGTGATAAACGTAGCAACGGCTGCTTAACGAGCCTCGTCCTGATTGACATAGCAGACGGTAGTTGAGGTCCTGATTGGATTGGATTACCAGTGAAGCATGCTTGGCACCATGAACCCGACGAGGTTTATCTCCTGACTTTGTTGGTCCTTAAGTATTTGATTAGAGCCGTGTGGTGGTGATAAGGTCTCAGGTGGGACAGGTAGGAGTCCTGTACGTGTTTGGAAGTCCTGGCTAAGGCACGTACTCTTAAAAGATTTAATACAAAATATTTGTCAATATGGTAAAGACTATTTATTGATTTTTATATAAAATAATTTAACAAAACTCCTAATAAGGTAAATAAAAATAAAAATCCTGTTTAAAAGGACCTCCTTTTTCTTAAAGATCTAGGTTGTCTTGGAAGGCTGCAACCATTAGCGACATTTTGCTGATATTGCAACACCTTTTGGCCATAAATAAGACGGCCCACAAAAAACCTATTCCCAGAAGGAACCCTCCCAGACAAAGGCCAATCATTCCAGTTCCTCGGTAATCAGAGCGCGTCTCTTGTGCAATTGCAAAAAATCAAAAGAATAAGTACAGATGCAACTGAGGCAACAAAGAATCAGCTGTGAGGAAACACCTTGCCTTGAGAGACAATGGCCAGGATCGCTGGCTGTACCTGTCGCCCGATTGTCTGGCCAAGATTCCCTCACCCAGTGACCCAGTGACGTACTGCCAGTAACTCCTGTGATGTCTTCCGCCCTTTGTTTGCTGCGGCATCCTTTTGCCATTGTCCTGCGGCTAATCACTTCTTAGGCAGCCAGCCAAGAAATCACATCAAACCATCCAACGGAGACCACAGAAGTCAGCCGCTATTTGCAAATCGACAATCGAAATCCACATTTAAATCCAAATCCAAATCCCCGGCCTGGAATCGATCCCGAAGCCATCACCTGAGATCGGGACCTACTCCCCATTAGTCCGGCAAACGCGATAACAAATTGCAATTGACAAAGGCAAACGAGATGCGATCGATGGAAGCCACATATCCGAGAGCCTCTCGAATGGGATGCGATTCCATGCCATACAAATCGATGGCGGGCTGGAGATACAAGCTGCGGCATTTGTAATTGCCAACAAATCTGGAGGGGATTGGAGTAGGATGAGGTACAAGGAGGAGGAGCAGGAGCAGGCCAGGCAATCAGCGAGCGGCGCATGTCACATGCGGCAAATAAAAACAAGCAAGAAAGGTTGGTTTTGGTAGAAGAAGTTGGTAATACTCTGACTTTTGTAATATTTTAAAACAGTTTTTTCCAAAATGAGCTGGTTTAGCTCAACCTAAACAAATCGTTTCAAACATTTATTTAATAATAATATTCTGTTTCTATTTTTGCGGCAGTATAAGTACCCCTTGAAAGCGTATTAAAAAAAATAAAAGAAATTCCCGCAAAGGCAAGACAAAAAGCTCATGCAAAACAAACATTAGGAAATCCAATCCGAACTCAGGCATCCAGCATCCAGTATCCAGCACCCAACATTCAGCAGCCAGCAGCCACTTAGGCAGTCACTCAGTGGAAAAGCCTGCATTCGAGGAGTCTTGCGAGGAGTAGAGGAGTCTTAGAGTCTCCGAGTCACAGAGTCTCTTTGCCTGGTGCAGGAATCGTGGACCAAGTCGTCGTTTAGGACGTCTGAGATTACGAGCGATTACGTTTTACTCCAAATTTGTATGCTGCCAGAGTTGTAATTGAAAAAGCATCAACATTAATCTTGGTACTCGTACTCGCACACACATCCAGTCAACCAGCTAGCTGGTGATTTTCGATTTCGATTGGGAATCGAATCGGATTTCGTAAGCCGGCCGGAGATGCCAGATAAGCGGGTGTAAGTGTGGGTAAGTCTGATCCCGATCCGAAAAAAAAACATATTGCTTAATCGCAGCGCTGATGTGGAGCAGCAGATATGATCGGCAGAAAATCTGAATCCGAATCGCGGAGCCAGAGACTCCATCGCGACTCGACAAGTGAGCGATGTGCCATCGCATGGCATAAATCAAATCCCGGAGAGAAATTGCGCCGCCGGCTGACAGCCCAGCCACGACAACTGTCCATCGCTGGGGATCCATCCAGCGGAGTTCCAAGCTCTCAGATCCATGCACCTAAGCCTTATGCTTTATGCCAGGCCACATGCAAATGATCGTGCCCAGCATTCGACACCGAGGATCTGCCTGGGGATTGCGGATGGCAACCTGTCAGCGATCAGCGACCTTAACTGTAAAGCCAGTCGCAAACCGCATAGGTTCTTGGTTCAGGCACTGGGAAATAATATTAGGTTTACAGAAAAAGTAATGTAATAAGATAGCATTGAGTCTAAAAAATGTTATCTTCTATCAGAAAATAGTTTGAAATATTTTTTAAAAATATTAAAAAAATGTTTTTTATTTTTGTATAAACTCTTAAACATTTATAGAACTTTTCTTAACTAGCAAACCCATTTTCTCTCTGTGTCTTCTTGAGTTACATGACCGGCTAAACCTGGCGTTAGTAGTCGCTAAGTGCAGTCAAGAGACTGAGGACTGCGGACTGAGGACTGCGGACTGGGGGACTCCTGTGGCCATCAACTTGATGATGAGGCAGGCAGTCAGGCAGATCGCTGCCAATGCCATTGCCTCCCATCAGTGCCCGTCTCCCAGTTCTCTCCCTTGTAAGTAACTGCCATAACCCGAGTCCATCCCAATCTCAGTACAAGTACCATCGCTTAACCCCCTCGTGGGCTTCGTGCCCGGCCTGAGCTGTAGATCGGCGAGCGTTGATAAATGTTGTTACTTGTCGTTGGATGGTTGTTCTCTTCTGAGTTGTCGACAAGCCCGATCGATGGGTGGTTATAGTTGACATGTCGCTCTGTGTTTCATCCCGGGATCGGGATCAGGAACGGGATTGGAATCGGTGGAAGACGGGGCACACGATTGCCAGTGACATGGTGGTTATGATTTTGGTCTTGTCTTGCCGCCGCCTAATTAGTCGCCTTGTATGCTCAGAAATTACCTCCACTTCCTGCTGGCTATCTGCTCATCTGCAATTTGAATTTTACGCGCATATAAATATTGCATAAAGTCACAGTCAAAGGGTGTGGAAAGTAGCGCCCCATCGGCGGGCATATCCGATGCTTTAATCGATTCCAGTCTTTACTCCGCTCATCGCTCACTTCGCCCAGCGATTGCATCTACTTGACACACATTGCACGCAAATCGATGCGGTAGCACTTACAAATATTCCCTATATATATCGACTTTTTTTTCGGCACCTCCGATTTCCTCCCCTTTTGGAAATTTACAAGAGATGCGACCCGGTGTCCAAAAATATCACACAGCTCCGCTCCCTTGACTGGCTTGGCGATGAAGAGGCTGCTGCTGCTCTAGAGCCTATGCCGAAAAAAAAAATTATTTATGTATGCGACTTTCTTCGATTCGGAAGGCAGTTGGGCCTACTTTTTCTGGGTCGCAGTGTATTAGATGCAGAATTTAACCGAGTGCCGAGGTGACCCTCCGAAATTTGAATAAGTTACATTTTTTGAGAAGAGTTCATTGGCTTCGGTGAGGCAACATTTTTGATAGTACTTTTAAAGAGGTCTCAAAAAGGTATTACAAAATAAATGTAAATGAAAATTTCGAAAGTTTTGCTGTTAAATTTACAAACTTAGAAGCTAATTCAATCCTCCTTTTAGCTGAAAATATATGCTCTATGCCCAAAGACTCACGTGTTCATCTGTGTATCACATGTGATGCTCGGCTGGGTAGACTTCAGACTATGCAAATCGATCTTGGAGCTATGATCACATGCCCCACCAACTGGATGACGCACCCAGAACGCCCTGCTGAAATATGCATGAGGCGAAAGACTTTCTTCCGTTTCCGCCGAGATCTGAAGAGCTCTTAACGATACAGAAGTGTTGGCAACACTCCATAAACTAACAGATTGTAAACTCGGGCAATTAACTTTATCTCGGGGCGAGACGCACAACTGTCGGGAGTTGGGAAACCGTCTGCGTTATCGGCTTTCGGCGTTTACCTGTTCTGATTTGAACGCTGAAAGTGAAACCGTAAATTCTGTTCCCGAGGGTCCAATGAGTGGCTCCTTCTTGGGCCATCAAATCAGACATCAGGTGGCAGGACTTCCATTGAGGTTCCCGTCTGCCAGGACTTGGGATAGGCCAGAAGAGCAGTGAGTTTGGATTTTTTGTAGCTAAATGTGGCTTTATGAAAGGGATATTTAAGTCAAGAAATTAATAATACTTGAAAAATAATTATAATATTATTTTCTATTTATTTAAAATAAAATTTACAAATTTGTAGAGTCTTGTAAT